GTTTAATTTGGCCGTAGTCAGGCGCCTAGCCTCAATTAGCGTTACACAGTGCATCGATCTTCCTATGAGCTGAGCCTGATGCAATTGCTTCCAGGATGCCATCAAGGTCATCATCTAACTGCATCCAAGCACTGCTGTCTGCCATCTTTGGCCAGTTAATCCTCTCTCTCCTTGCTAATTACAATTACAATAGAATAGAAACAGCTTTTACTGTCCCGCAAAGGAGAAATTCAAGTGTAAAGGCAATATTTCAGCTTAAAGACAAAGGCCTCATAATGTAGAATACAAAGAGTAAATAGAGGTAAAACATTGCCAACAATTTTGATGGACATGAGGGGAAAATGGTGACTGTATCCACTGAAAAGACTAATTAAATGTGACAGATCATCAAGGAGTTTCAGCAGCCGTTACATCACTCAGCAGATCTTGAGCAGTTGGCATAGAAACAGCATCAAGAGAGAGGAGCAGAGAGAAACACTTTGGTTCTGTGACATCCACCCCCGGAGAGAAAAGCCTGCAATCCTTACACTTTTTTTTCTATAAAATTTCAAATGAAATCTAAACCGTCCAGGCTGCTGTCCTGAGCTTTTTCTGTTAGAGGGCAGCAGGGGAGAGAAGAACCCTCCATCAAAAGCAGATGATTAAAAAGTATTAAGAGAATATAATGATCTAATAGAAATAGAAAAAATAAATAAAAACACAAGGTCACTGATAAAAGGTAAATTATTTCTGCATTTCTGACTGATCACAACTTTCTGTCATGCAGTCTTAATAATAATAATAATAATAATAATAATAATAATAATAATAATAATACTACTACTACTACTACTACTACTACTACTACTACTACTACTACTAATAATAATAATAATAATAATAAACAATCATTTATAAAAGGGGATTTTTGCTTCCCTGGATGAAACTTATTCATTGGGTTGACATAATTTTGTAAAAAGAAGGGAAAAAAATCACTGGACTCAAATGATTAAATAAATCAAACATCTCTTTGTTAGACAACTATCCAACAAGGAGCTTTTTCATTTATTAAAAACAGTTTAATTTGTTTAAATCTAAATTTCGCAATTGATTACATTATAGATCAGGATTATTCATAATACTGTAATTTATGTAATGACATGAATTTATTGTTTGAAGAATAGAATAGAATAGAATAGAATAGAATGGCGCAGCAGTGCCCACATCACAACCTCCAACGTCAGCAGGAAAACTGTGTCAGTGGCGCACAGCGGAAGGGAGAAGATGTGTGAGAGGAATACTGATGAACATCTATTTCTTTTTCATTTTTTTAAAAATCATTGTTTGTTCACATTCTGTGTTATTTTCTGTGTTAACATGCAAATTAAATTCTCCTTCAATTTCTTGCTCCATTATAGCTGATATAGAGTGTCTGTCTTATATTTGTGTTGGTTTGATGATTTATTTCTGGCTCCAAATTGTGCGCCGTTGCCTCTTTCCGGTTGAGGCGCTGATCTGGGATCGGTTTAAAGCCGTAAAGGTCCATTTGTTGGGCTGGGAGCGGATCTGAGATCAGCTTTTGGGCCTCAGCTCGATTATTATCTGCTCCAATCAGAGCCGCTCAGTCCGCTCTGACGCATGAGTGCCAAATCTCAAAGTGACAGTCAGAGGTAAACACACCGGAAGTCACACGTCCTTGTTTAGGAAACAAAAGCATCGTGTTAAATGTTTCAACATTTTTCCTCTCCTCAGTCACACACAACAAAGAGAGTAAAGACACAAATCAAACAAAGAAAAACAAAAACTAAACATAAATAGATAAAATGACTGTTAAAATGGATGAATAAAACTAATACTTCTTTAGAAAAACTATTGTGAGTTTAACTGAACATTCATAATTAGACAGTTCATCTTATTGTTATCTGAAAAAAAAAAGACTTTTTGCAGAGTTTACAGTCCACTGTAATACAACCAAAACCAAATCAAATGCATCAAATTAAAACAAATTCAATATCATACAGAGCAAGTAAAAAAAAAATACTCTGAATAAGAGAACCCACATTTTCATATCCCTTTAATTGTGCAAAAGAGTATAATTCAAACAATATTTCTGTTTGGGGTAAATTGTTTTCCTTCGATCTCATTTGGACTTAATTTTATTTTTAATTTCTTTTCAAATTTCCACTTCTTAAGACCAACACAAACCAATAAGGACAATAATGATTCAATAATGAGTGCAATTTCCACCAAAAACGTTGAACCAGTTCGCACACGGCTCGTTCTACCCTCTGTTTTAATCAAAAAGGTTCCCAGAAGGCTGGGTGGTTTTAGATTGAAGTGGCAAACAGGATCCTGCCCGGCGCCGTGGCGCATTCTGATCCGGGATTGTGATCATGATGGAAGCCGTCCCAGCGCAGCCCCAGACGGGATAAGCCGCTCCTGACGCCAAAGACCTACCGGGTGGTCCTTCTCTTTTTGGTTCTCCTACAGCATTTGGACAGCAGAACCATCCCCCCCCTCATCCGGACCGACGCAGGTGAGCCATCCGCCGTGCGTCATTTGCGTCTCCCCCCCCCTCTCAATAACAGCCGGATCAAATCCGTTCTAGAAGCATTGGGAATGTTCATATTTCCTGCTAATTTAGACACGGCCTTAGGGGTTATTCATCCTTTGTATCCGTGGCAAATAAAATAAAAACCGACACCCTCCTCCGCCCCGGCCTGTACGCGTTAAGCCCCGCAGTTCCGTAGATGCGTGCCGGTCGATGTCATCCAGGGGAGGGGAGGGGGGGGGGGGGGGGGGTTGCGGCTTATCGGGGGACTCCCCGTGGCCCGTGTCATGGCGCAGGGAGCAGATGGGGCCCGGGGGCTGACACACAAAACAGCGGAACCAAAGCTTCGGCTCTGCGTCCCGTTGGATCGAAATGCGGAGATTTGCCCCTGTGGCCTCTGCTGTGCTCCATCTTAGACTGCGAGGGGGGAGGAGGAGGGGGGGGGAGGGGGGCGGGATGCTGCTGAAGCTGCTGCTGCTGTGTTGCGCTCTGCTCCCACAAACGTCCCTCTTAACTCCTCCACAGGAACCCGCGGGTGAACCTTCCTCCGGCTCCGTGCGTCCCCATCCATCCCCTCACGCCATCGGATGACCGTCTGTCCTCGCCTTCGTCCATACTGACACCGGGAGGAGGCGTTCAGGGACTGCCGGGATAACTCAAAGGCTGCCAGCGACCTCTTGGACAACAGGAGTGGCCCCTAACGACTTGTCAAAAGTGTCACTTCCTGAGGAAATATGGACGAAACGCTATTAGAAAAGCCAGGAATGATACCGGACTCTTTCACACCATGTGAAATAACTGTCTGGATGCTCGACAAATGAGGTATCTGGCTCCCACAAGAGGAAACGGTCGCGTTATTTCTCTTAGAGTTTGCAGGGTACCACAGTGTATCTCTCAGAGAGGAACTTGGGGAGGGAGGGGGGAACCCTTCTCAGATTGTGTTGGACAAACCCATGAAGTGATTCCATTTACCTCTGAGGAGAAGTTCTGACCAATCCGTAGACATGATGGTGGAAGGCACCGTCCGATCCTGCCGAAGGACTACCGTGGTTTAACGGGCAAAAAGAGGGGGAAGGGGTGGGGTGGTGGGGTGGTCATGGATTACCACGGCGACTGCTGCCTCTGCGACCCGGAGGAGGGCCACGCAGGTCTGGACGAGCCGCCCCTCCACAGCATCCACGCGCCCAACCGGATCCGGCCGTCCTCCTACCGGGCCCTGAGGAGCGCCGTGTCCAGCCTGGCGCGCATCGACGACTTCTTCTGCGAGAAGATCGGCTCGGGCTTCTTCTCCGAGGTCTTCAAGGTACGCGTTAGGGTATCTTTGCACCGTCTAGGAGCAGGTTCCAGGGATGTTGCAATGTCTTCACTAGACTCTGAGAAACCAATTTCCGCAGTGCAGAGTTATAAATAATAGTTCATTGGGAGAAAATGATTGGATCTAGGACTCCCCTGATCTAGTACTTTTAGTAATATTGAGATTAAAGACCCTGGTTTTAGCCTTTTGTTCTCTTAACCTAACTAGTGCTCCTAACAAAAAAATGTCAAACTGAAAGCTGCAAATAAGAATTCTTTACTAAAGAGGGAAATTATTTATTTGATTCAATAAAAGAGCATTACCCATGAGCCCCTCGGTGAGAATTCCGCAAGTTCTGCAGCTTCGGAATGACACAGTTTCTTCAGGATTTTGCTTCTCACAGGCTATAAATGCTATTGTGAATATAGGCGAGCCCCTCTTACCTTCAATATTGTATTGGCATAAAATACAGTCAGCCCCAGGCCTCTCAAGTCCGATTTCTATACCAAGTATTTGGTCAGTATATCCATTTAGCTTATTAATGGCAAGAATTGATACTGAAAAAGTAGCAATGCAATAAAGCCCCTTTTAAAGTTGTAAAAAAAAAAAGCTTTTCTGCTGGATTTATCTGTCAACTTTTTTAGGCACCATTCAAAAGCACGGACATACTTTTCCAAATATTTTCAAAAAGTTGATGTCTCCAAACCTTTGACTAAAAATGTGTGTATTATCCATATGGGATGTAAGTTCTAACTTTTGTCTCGCAGCCCGAGGACTTCTGACTGAGGTCTTTAGAGTGTGAGATGAAGCTTTTGGGATTTTGCATTTTGCCTAAGCTGAGGGTGACAGTTCTGGGACACTTTCTTGGATATGTATCAACCATAAGAGACCCCGGCTTCTGAATTTTGGTACATTTGTTACATATTTAGTGCAATGAGCCATGTTAATGTTCATCTGAGGTTGGATTTACATAACGTTTAGGCTTTATAAGATGCAAGTGAGTTTCCTATTGAGAGAGGTTGTGCTCTGTTTGTCGAGTACTCCGACTTGTGTGCAGGTACCAGCGTACCTTTGCATTTAGACACTTGTGAAGGGACATTTTTTTCAACCAGCAGTTTAAGCCTCCACACAGCACACGGCCTTGAAAACTATGTCAAAGCATGTCAAGCCGCAGTTGCAGTGTTTGCTCAAGGTGAGAGGTTTACTGAGTGGATTCCAGGGCACATTCTTTTGCTCTGATCTAAACCCAAGCCTTTACACACCCAGAAACCTGCCTTTTCTAAAGACCTCCATCATTTAGAGGCAGAAAATCCTAAGGTGTCTCCACCTTATGATGAGACACGTAATTACCACTTGAATGATCTTGACTCAGGTGAGCCTTCTCAAGTGGTCAGCATTTTCTGAGTGTTGTGTTTGTGTGTCTGTGAATGAATTTCAGCAGAGATAAGCTGGTTTCTATGACGCCCGGCACGTTTGTTAGATTCAGCCCTTTAGTGACCTAAACGATGTCACAACATAACAACGTTCACAACTCCAACATTTTACTTTTGATGTTATATTTTCATCTTTTTTGCTCTTATGTGAAGAAACCTTTCTATTTTCTTTGTTTCTTTTGCTTTCCTGTCTGCCTGAGCTTGTTTGGCTTCGGCCTCCAGTTCTCTTAGAACCTCTTTTGTCAGCCATGAAAATCAAATGTAGGGAAGGTCCTCGTGGGTTTAAACCTATTGCATTTGCAAACGATGGAGATCCCTGTGCTGCTGTAAACATTTACACCTGGTCCTCTCCACAGTGATGTTGGACCCAATATAGAACGTGAAACGTCTTATATGGGAAGTTAAAGCTCCATACGCTGTGACGTATAACCGGGTAACTGTAAAAAGATGTTAAATAGCACAAGTATGAGAAGGTGTGTTGACTATTAAGGCTTCAGTCCCCGCCTAAAGGGTTAGGGTTAGGGTTAGCATCCAGCTGCTATTCAAATCAAACATTTCTCCCGGGAAAAATACATGAAGCCGGTAGCAATTAGAGAGAATACTAAAGAGTTGACCAGTAGAGAGCAAGCTTTTCATTAAAAATGTCAACTCTTTGTGAACACAGTTCAATGCAGTCCTCTCATCTGGGCTTAGGAAATTGATCTATCTTAGTTGGAGCCACATAAACATTAAATTCTTTCTTAAAGTTCATGTTGAATTCACAGAAAAGTTTTTGATTTTTAAAAAAAATTATATCCCACTAAATTTGAAAAGACTTTTGTACATTCAAAATAGTTATTCGGTATTATGATAGCCCTCCTTTCAGGTAATGACTTAAAGACGGCACAGCCTTAATCACCTCAAGGTTGGATTATTGTGACTGCTTGTACTTTGGTATTAGTCAGTCTCCTGTGCGTCCTGCAGCTGGTTCAGAATTGAGCAGCCAGACTCCTAACCGGTACCCAAAAAGGCCCAGTGGGACCCTCCTGTTAGCATATCTGCTCTGGCTTCTGACTAGAGTACAGAACTGATTTAAAGGATGCTCAGGGTTCCTACGCCTCCTGGAAAACTGGAACAACAAGACTCAAAAGCCAAATGTCCTAAAAGCTCTCAGGTTATCCTGCAAAAATGAGCTGTGCTGGGCTCCATGTGACGCCAATCAAATCTGCGATTTCTGTCATTATAATGCTTTTTTGAGACTTCTGACCAAATAAGAATTAGTACCTAAACAACATCAGTGGGCCAAAATTGAGCAGTTGAAACAGTCCCGTACGATCATTTTAAGGGTTGGAACCATCCACCCATCCATTGGACAAACAAACACAGACTCTAATTCACTCCTTGGGGCAATTTGGAGTGTTCTATTAACCTGACTTGAGAGTTTTTGGATGGTGTGAGGAAGCCAGAGTACTCGGCGAGAAGAGGTAACCATGAAGCTTTTAAAACTACATATAAGTTGGCACCCAGTGTGGTTTTTCTGATCTCTCTGCCTTTGTCAAATGACTCAAAAGTCCAAAAAAAGAAAATAAAGTACTAACAGATTGCATTAATACTTCTCAATTAAATTTTATTATCAGATATTGAAATATAATATAATGTATATGCATATAATCCCCTGCGCAGCCATTGTGTGTTTTTCACTCGTGATCTCTGCTATTTTTTTTATTGTCCATGACACACAGAGTCATGTTTCTTTTTTAAATATTAACTGATGCTTGTCAGGCTTTATAAAGTAAACTGCAAATGCCTTATTTAGGACACAAAAAGTGGTTTATTTGATCTGATCATGCATGCTTTGCAGCCTGGAGTTACTGGTACTTCATTATTAGTATGTTGAACATCCTCTCATCCATTTTTTTAATACCGCTTATTTCCAACGGGGTCGCTGGCGGACGAAATATGTCTTACTTTGTTTTCTCTTCTGAAAATGTCCTGTGCTGGTTTGAATGTTGTGCTGTTGGAAGGAAATCTGCTGAAAACTAGCGTTTTAGTTTTACTTGTTCCTGATGTGTAACCATAACCAAGTTTTCAGCTTGTTTCAGCAGCTACTTGAGCTTTTAAAAAGTCCCAGTAATACCTGGAACAAGTCCCTCGAATTAAACTGAGTTGGAGAGGAGAAGTTCAAGATGCAGAGCCGGACCAAAAAAAAAGACGAGAGATAAAGATGATAGTGTTTTTTTAAATATCCACCCCCCTCCCTGTCGTCAAGGGAAGAGTGAGGAACATCAGAACATGGAGAAAATATTGAGACATAGCTGATGAAACAAGTGGAGCACCTCTCCTCAGACTGTATGAGCAGAGAGGGACGGATAGAGAGGTAACCGTGAAGAAGCGGGATTACAGTGCCTCTCGGCAACAGATGGCGTAATCCTGGACCTGTCACTGAGAAGGAGCATCTCTGCGCAACAGTTCCTGGTTTTGGCCACTAAATAAAACCCGAACCCACAAATGACGGCCTCTGAAATCTCTCCCAACCTTTTTTTTTTTTGCTGCGCCTAAATTTGCAGCATATTTTTCAGATAAATTGTACTTTATTTAGTCGTCTATTTGTAAAATGTCATAAATTAAATGAATACTTAAGCAATATCCTTTAGCTTCTAATAATATTCAGATTAAAGCAGAATTATGCTTATTTGTACTTTAAATGAGCCATTTATTTCACATATAAAAAGCAACTTGGCGCTGATTTATATAATCAGACTCAGAAATACTTTAATAATAATAATAATAATCACAGAGGGTATAACGTGCAGCTGTGTATTTTTCAAGCAGGGGAGCATTTGTTCGGTGAACACACTCCTTTTTCCATGTTGCAGGAACTGGAATAAATGGTCACGTCCTCACACCGCGAGGAGAGAACACAAACCTGCCTGTGTTGGTCGTTAGTGACACAAACCCGATTAGTGACATTATAAACCGTAGGACTAAATGGGTTATTTGCTGATTCAGGCAACAGAAGTGAGCACTCCGGTTTTAGACACTCGGAAACATTGGTGCCATGTGCTCGTTTGATTGTTTCGCTTCATCATGGAGTAAGTTAACCTTAACGTCATTGTCAAATTCTGACTATGGACAAGAATAGTGAAAAGACTCAAATCTGGGCATGGACGAATGACAAGAGGTCAAAGGAGAACATTATTATTGTTTTCTGTAAAACTGTAGCCAAAGGTGGAACACAAAAAATAAAACTTGAAAAGGAAAAAAAAAATCCCTGCTATAACAAGAACCTGACTGAGATAAGGATGTGAACATGATATAATGAATCCCACCATTGTCTGAAATAAGGACTGAGAGAAATCGGGGAGTTTAGGTACTGTGGTGAGCTTGATGAGGTAATAGGGAACCGCTGAGACAATGGACACAGGGTGGTAGAGGAGCTAATGAATGGAAAGACTGGGAAAACAATGAAAATGTGGAACAGAACCCGACAAGACTGAGGGGCACAGCAAGACTAAAGGCAATACAAAGAAAATCCAAACTAGGATGTGATTTAAAACAAGTTTAAATAAGAATATAATGGGAATAGAACCTAGATAAACCAAAGAACATTAAAAAAAACCAAAACAAAGTCCACATCTAGGTTATTAAAGCATGATATTTATAATATTGCGCAGTGTTTCTTTATAAGAGTTTTGGGTTCGAGTCCCCGGGGGAACCAGGACCTTTGTGTGTGGAGTCTGCATGTTCTCCCTGTGTCTGCGTGGGTTCTCCTCGGGTTCTCCAGCTTCTTCCCACAGTCCAAAAACCTGCATGTTATTTATTTATTTATTTAATCAGGACAGTGCACATTAATGAACAATCTCATACAGATTGTAAATGAGCCAGATTATAGCATAGTTGCTAGTTTACATCTGTCGTCCTGAGGCAGGAAGATCAAACAACACAAAATCACAAAATACAAAATCAGTCCAAACACACGTTCAGACAATGACATTACAAAATTAAAATGAATAAAATTGGATTGGACATTCCAAATTGCCCTTAGGAGTGAGTGTGCATGGTTGTTGGTCCTTGTGTGTCTCTGTGTGGCCCTACGATGAACTGGCGGACTGTCCAGGGTGTACCAGGTCTCCCTCGAAAAAGAGATTTTATCTCAAGGGACTTCCTGGTCTAGGGAATAAGCGGTATTGATAATGGATGGATGGATGGATAATGGATGGATGTTTCTTTAGAATTGTTTTAGCTAAAAAAAGGATTTCTGAGTCTTGCACCGCTGTCCACAGGCTGGACTTTATCATAAATCAAAGCTAAAGGAAGGTTTAGCCTGCAGAAATTCCGCACATTTTTTTTAAAGCTTAGTCCACGATCCATAGGGAGTTTTTTGCTCTTTGAATGTGGTTAAAAACTCAGCCGGCTCTTTTCCGGTTTAACACTCAGCTGCGCCTTAGTGCGTTTGTGTATTTGTGTATTTGTGTGCATGTGTGCGTGCTGCCCCCTCAGTAATGGCGCAGTGGATTTGTGCAGATCAGGAGGAGTGATGGGAAATCCACAAAGCCTATTAGCGATCGGCTATTAATACACACACACACACATACACACACACGGACAAACTCATAAACAAAGAAGCGTGCATTTGCAGGCCTGGCGTTGTTCAAACAATAGTAGTCCGTGAGTCATCCAGTCACCTACATGATGTCATGCTACAAAATAAAAAGTTACATGTTGAATCCAGATTTGTATCAACATGCAAATGCTGATACTTGATACAAGTGATAAATATTGGAAATCACTCAACTTTAACCAATGAATCATGACTTAAGTAAAAAAAAAAAAAATAAATGACTGTGTTGCCATCTCAATTTACCAATGAAATCGACTTCAAATAAAAGTATTGTAAAAAAAAAAAAAAGAATATAGTTGATTATTTGTAAGTTGATTCTGGGTCATCTTCCTCAGCCAAGCATGTCCAGCTCTACCAGTTAGCTTTACAGGCTGTTTAAGGGTGGCTTTTGGTCACTGTGCTCTTGACAGCTTAACACTTTTGACATATAGATTGTTAGATTTCTGCCCTTTTTGTTATGCAAATTTTGTTTAGTTTTTTGTTTGATAGAACATACAACAAATATAACAATATGCCACACCGACCTTTCCAAATCTACTTTACAGTTAGCCAGTTGGTAAAGGCAGACCATGTACAATCATACTGATGCATTTTACATAGGAGGCTGTATGTCTCTTTCTCGTAAGAGGCCAGTTTCACTACAGTTGTCAGCCATTCATCATAAATTTGAGAGTTCTTTTTCATCCATTGTCTTAATAGAATCCTTTTTTCTGTAGTGAGAGCCAGAATGAGCCCCCTTCTGTCAAAAGGTGAGAAGTGTGAGTCTGGGAGTTCAACTGTGGAGCCTAAAACTGCGAGCTTGGCAGTGACATTAAACCTTCTTTTCAATGTTTCGAAAATTACGTCCATAATGTTCTTCCACCAATTTTGAAGAGCAGGGCAGGTCCAGAGAATATGTAGAATAGATGCTCCCTCATTACATCTCCATCAAGAGTCTTTAGGAATCAAATTCCATTTATGAAGTTGTCAATAGGTTCTATGCCATCTATGAATTATTTTTAATTGAATAAACTTGTTACTAATTTCTTTATACGTTGTGTTTACATTTTTTAAACATGAGTGCCAATCACCTTCAGAGATGTCCAGGCCATGTCTTAAGTCCAGTGTTTTTAACCGTTGATAATGGTCGCCCAATTGAATAATTAACATTTTGTATATGTTGCCATTTTGCCATTGGTCAGCTTGCAAAGCAGATTTCTTCCCCATTTTTATGCTCCACCACCGTTTTATCACAGAGGTCTACAGGCAAGTTCTTTAATCTGTCTTTTTTCCCAAAATGTGAGATGATGTAAATGAGTAAATTAAATGATAAGATCTGGAATTAGTCTTGTTTTCAAATATTTCTCAAGGGTTCTGTCTTAAATCGAGTCTGTTTCCTGTGGTACTGCCATAATCTGTCTTTATCCTGTTGATGAAATGACTCACTGTGAGTCCTCTCTTCACATTCCAGGTGCAGCATCGGATCACTGGGCAAGTGATGGCGCTGAAAATGAACACGCTTGCAAGTAACAAAGCTAACATGCTCCGAGAGGTGCAGCTTATGAACCGGCTCTGCCATCCAAACATTCTCAGGTAGGCAGAAAGGAACAGTTTGAATATTTGTGTTGGAAATTGTGTCAGAAACCAATTCCTTACTTTCAGTTTCCAGAGAAGGTCCACTCATTCAAGGCCGGCAGTTTTACTTTCATTATTCTCTGAATTTTAGTTACTGTTGGTGTATGTTTGTTGAACAAAATGACATGTGACAAGTTAAGACTCAGTGTATGTGCTCACGTTTAATAGATTCTCAAAAGTGGAATGAATCTGTAACCAAAGCAGGATGCAAACGTTAAGCAATATTCTAATAACAGAGTGAAGCCTTATTCTGATATGTCTAAAATGAACTGTCATGATATAAACCTTTTTCTTTGAGTTTTCTGAGACCTAATGAGTCAAAAACCGAAACTGTTCTGATGGTTTGGGGAAGAAAATGCAGAAAAATGAGTTAAGAACAGATTAGGTCATCCAGGGACTGGTGGTGGTAACGAACACAGCACCAATGTTACTTCTTTTTAGATATACAAAGTTTTTTATTTCAGATGAGTTAATCTGAATTGTCCCATCACTGGTTTGGAAGTTGAGTACTTTCAGTGTTTCACTGCTCTCTTTGACGCACACATGGGGGCGCCACAGTTTGCACATTTGAAGGTACACAGTATTTGGAGACACTTTGAAATCTCGAGTGCATTCAGAAGAATTGGAAATTTGTGATATTTAAAATGACCTCTGGTTAATTTAATGTTGTTTTCTCAAATCTCCACAGGTTCCTGGGGGTTTGTGTGCATGAAGGGCAGCTACACGCGTTGACTGAGGTACAAATGTTCTCCTTTCTTAAGTGCTTTGCCTCCTTTTATAGTTTTTATTTTCCAACTAATATTATTGATATTCATACAAATGATTATTCTTATTCAGTAAAAGTAGATTCAACCCAAACTCTTTTGTAAAGGTCCCAAGCTGTGCTGTGGTCATTTTCATAGAGACTCTGTATATTTCGTCCTCTTTCTGAAGTACATAAACGGTGGTAACCTGGAGCAGCTGCTGGATAGCGATCTGTACCTGTCCTGGGGCGTCCGGATCAATCTGTCTCTGGACATCGCCCGAGGCCTGCAGTACCTGCACAGCAAGGGCATTTTCCACCGAGATCTCACCTCCAAGGTACAGCATGTGAGAATTGGGAAACTACAGCATGCATGTATTGACAGGCAGCTCTGTGCCAGGTTTATTTATGAAGTGAAGTGTGAAACTAAAATGAAAATAAACCCAAAAATATAATCAGGAATCTTATATTTCTCCAGATGCATAAGCCATAAAATAAACAACTCTACATCTGTGCATCATATAAACCAAACCGGGCTTTGCTAACATAAATGGTAACCTTAAGGAAAAACATGTGAACGTGTCACTAATCAGCACACTGTGTAATACCCTACCATTTAAAGCCTCAACATATGACAGTAAATTCACATATAAACATAGACAGAGAATGTTACTCGAAGAAAATGTATGCTGATTATCACTGGAAGCCGGCAAAGTTTGGTATTCTGTTGCTTTTTCCTTATCTCTTTGGAGAAGTTTGATTTAACACGACAAACCCCGACTGCTGAACCAAAACAGGCCAGTAGATGGCAGCACTGCAGTTTTTAAATATTTCTATTCAAATAAAATACCATGAAAAAACAAAATGAAACACCTCAAGTCATTTTTGAAGCTGGACAATAAATATCGGCCTTCTGATACTATAACAGTATAGTGAAAACCCTCCAACCAAAGTATGAATAATAAGATATTCACTGGTTGTATTGTCATTTTAAATTTGCTTACATGTGTAGAGATCATTTGTAGTAATGTAGAGTTGGAAACAGAAAACATGGGAAGTTCAGCCTTTTGCCAGCTAACACAAACAAGAAACGCTCCTCTCAAAGTAGAATAACAACAGGAAACATGTTCTTTGAGTGGTTTCGTTTGACGGCACAAGATAAAGCGGCCAGGAGAGCTAGTTTCCGCTTGTTTTCTGTTAGTGGTTAACAGAACTTTCAACCGTAACCGTTGTGAGACGCCCAGATTCAGGTGCAGAAGAAGTTCAGAGTAAGGTCATCCTCCGCAATATTTATTCCACATCATGTAAGACAAGAAAATGGCCCTATATAGCCATTATAGCAAGAACACACACACACACACAAACAGACACACTGTTTTTATCCATTTATTCTACTCTCAAGAGGCCATTGTAGTACTACAGAGCATTTCTAAACATCCAGTCATCCATCTTTTTTGTCTTCTGCTTATTCTTAGTAGGGTCACTAAGAGTTTATAATCAATTTAGAATCTTCAATTAGTTAACGTGCATATTTTTGTTCTGAACTGGGAACATTACAAATGTGGTGCAATGCAAACAGTAGAGTAACGCACTAGCTTGACATGAGATTTTTAGGGGAATTTTATACAGACCAATGTTGCCGGTCACAAGATCTGCGTCCCGCCGAGACATTTCCGGTTGTTTCAAATTAGAGCAGGTTTTTTTATTTGGTGATTGCATTTATCACTTTTTTTTAATCACTCAGTGTTGTTGCAGATGTAACCGTTGCTGTGTTTCTATATTCAGAACTGTCTGGTTCGCTGTGAGAACGGCAAGTTCACAGCTGTGGTGGGAGACTTTGGCCTGGCAGAGAAAATACCTGATTACAGGTCAGTGGGATGTAACCTGGATTCTGTTTTTTTTCTCTGTTCTTGTCCTCTCCTACTCATTATTATTATTATTATTATTATTATTATTATTATTATTATTATTATTATTATTATTATTATTATTTGTGTAACAGCAATGTAGTAGTAGGTTTTATAAAAAAAAAGTTTCACTAGCATGACTATTTGATGTCCCTCTGTTATTCCTGTTATCTTATAACAACAGTTGACGGTGGTAGTGTATTCATTTGAACATATCCCACTGAAGTCCATCCATCTATTTCCTTGACCTGGTCAGGGGGGCCGAGGCCTTTCTCAGCCGTCACTGGACGAGAGGCGGGCTGCCCCCTGGACGGGTGGCCAGTCCATCACAGAAGCACTTATACAGGCAGTTTAGCCTCATTGGTTAAACAAACATGCTTTTTTTTTAACTGTGGGGGAAGCCAGAGTACCCATAGAGAACCCAAAGGCAAAACTCCAGATTTGTACCAGGAACCAAGCCACAAAGGTGACACTAAAAGCTACAACACGTTCTAATGATGGATGACTTCTTCTCTTGGCAGTGACTGTGCGGAGAAGCGGCCTCTGGCTATAGTGGGCTCTCCATACTGGATGGCCCCCGAAGTTCTGAGAGGCGAGCTGTATGATGAGAAGGCAAGCCTGCTTTAACGTTGCACAGTTCATGCAAACACGTACTGCGGAAAAGTCCAGGTTCAGATTATGTAAATGAGTTTAACGATCATAATAATCTCACATCACTTTTCTTTGAGCGATGCTTTCACTCCTCTCATCAGTGCCGCCAGTTAAAAAACTATTTCACATTCATATGTTACTGAGCAAGTTTCGACATCGGGGACACACTTTTCACATCTTTTTAATAACAACAGTTATTAATAATAACTTGCAGTATTATACTGATCATTTCAGCATTAGTGATTCCTACTAGAAATGAATGTTTGAGTATTATTAATGTTGGTAATCTTCTAGCCTTATGGTTACATTTTGATCACAGTTTGGGATCTTATTGGAACCCTGAGTGCATGCTTTCATGGTGAGAGCCGGAAACTGGACGGTACTGACCTGCTCTTTCTGCTTCTTTGCGCAGGTGGATGTGTTTGCTTTTGGCATCATCCTGTGTGAGATCATTGCCCGGATTGAAGCTGATCCAGATTTCTTACCCAGAACAGAGGTAGGAGCCTAGAGCGGGGCACTCTAGTCTGTCACGTACAGTTCCTGTTGTTGGGAAAATAAATGTAATCCCACAGTTGCATTCTGGGAAAACAAATCCTGAAACTGCTCCATTTAAGGATAAAGCGGTGGGTTGAGTTTTGGTTAAACTGTTAAACAAGTTATATCATGGCATTGAGGGCTGTTGGGTGAGGAGCCTTATCTCTTACAAAAACACAGACCAAGACTGATTAGCAACGCAAAAAAACTACATTTCAGTTTGTTCTGACTCAATGAATTTAATGTAGACAAAATATCTGAGTGGTCATATCGTGAAAAATGATAAATTGTCCATTCGTGCAATGTCGCTGGAAGTCGTTAAATTTAGGACAAGCTATCAATTCCAGACCAGTAGCAACAACTGTAAAGGATGAGACAGTGGGATGCACACATCAAGACATAAAGGAAGACCAAATATGGGTCAAACAGTGGGCAAAAGGAGGCACCCAGAACTAGACAGAGCTTTCTCAGACACTCGACTTTGAGACCTCTCCAGATCTCTCCTCCTGACACAGACGTGGCTGATAATGAAACCTCCTTTTTTCGACCAAGTCTGTCCCTTCCTGCGGCATCTTCACCTGAGCTGTTTGAAGATGACCATCTCCATAACACAGCAAAGGGTTTTAGCAGCCAACAGCACTCAAGTGGGAAACAACAGTTTAGAACCAATAAGTAAAGAAGCACGGCTTCATTTTCTTTCAAAATGGCAAGTCGCTCGGGTGACTGGACCAGATGGCAAAGTTTTACCGATAGACCTCAGCTTACGGCTTCACACCTGACACACAATGCAGACACATGGGCTGATGGTACTTGTGAGTTCTTGCTATCCTTATGGGAGCTTTAGCTTGACGCTCGTCAGACTCCGTCGTTTCCAAAGGCTTCGAAAAATAAATACGTTAGTCCGCTTCTTGTTTTGAACTGTTTACTAACAAACTTCACGCAACATTACAAAAACAAAAATTATATTTCCAAAATAATTCTTTTAAAGTCCAACGGAGCCTGGGAAGGGCGAGGTCAAAAAACTATTGCGTTCCACTCTCTTTCCGATTCCAACTGACCACGCTCCCCTGGCATGCACGTAAATCACCTGCTGGGAGATTTGTAAACTTCAAAAATAAAAGTATTCTTCACAACAATATAAATTAACTGTAAATATCTAATTTAAATCCTTTTAAATCCCTTTTTGAATAATTAAATAACAAAAAATATTTATCTTACTTGTGAATTTGCATATTTTTAAATAAAAAATATTCCAACTAAAATTAACCGCAATTAGGCTCCTACAGTACTGTTCGATTGTTTCAGTCAAATGGAGCAAAGTGAATTTAGTCTGTCGTACGAGAGTAAAAATACACAGCCCAGAAAATCAATCGGTGCCCCCTTCCCCCTCGCTCGGTGCGGTTATTGATGTGGATGTGTCTGGGCAGGACTTTGGACTTGACGTCGATGCGTTTGAGAACATGATTGGGGATTGTCCATCTGCACTCTTCAGCCTCGCTGTGACCTGCTGTAATGTGAGTACCCACCCACTTGCTGTCATCGCTCACATAGTTCGTCATCGTGTTTTAAGGGTTGCGATTGCAGATTAAATACCCCTCTCCGTCTAAACTGCAAGGACTTATGAGCTGTCAATAAGCGGCATTTTGTCTTTCACTTTTCAGATGAGTGCAGAGAGACGGCCCTCGTTCTCTGACATCGTCTTTACTTTGGAAGCCATGGAGAGAGAAGACGAGAGAGAGAAGCCCATCGCTCTCGGTAAAAGCACCAATCGATGAACTCTACTTGAAATGCCCTCATGTTTTTACAGCACTGTTGATATGGGGACCCAAAACAGACAACATTCGAAACAGATCTAATTGGGGTCCTAGATTGTTTCAGTGGGAAAATTGATTTTATAATTGTTATTTTTCTGGTTTGCAAAAGAGCTCAGTTTGGTAAAATTGCTTTGGCAAGAGATTTTCACACTCGTGGTTGTCTCCCTGCCACATTTTATGGCCTCCCTCCCAAAGACTGGATTTATTTGGGGACTTATTATTGAGAAACACTCTCCTCTCTGTTGCTTACGGGTATTTTTGCTTCAGCATTTATTACTTGATGTGTATATGTTTAAAGAAAAAAGAAAAAAAAGATTCTTTGCCCCAACCTTTTAGATCGTAGAACAACTTGAAATTAAAAGCCCTCTGGTGTCTCGCAGGATTCTGAATTTTACTGAGAAAATTTCTGTAGACCATTAGAACCTGACACAATAAAAAGATGATAGATTAGTTATAAGAGTAATTTGTGTCATGCCCTTCACATTCATTATGAGCCATGTCTGTTTCTTTGGTTGGTTCTGCTAATCTAAGTGACGTTCAGTCCTTTGGTCTTTCACATTCTCTGACTTATTTCTGTCCTACATATCTTTCCCAAACCTTATGCTGCCCAGAGCCATTGGTGGTGGATGTGAGTCCATACCGGCGCCGCAGCTCTCCCTGTCACCCCGGGGACCGCAGCCAACCGGGTCAAGGCTTGGCCAGGAGCCAGTCGGACGTGCTGCCTCCCACGGCCTTGACTCTTCCACTTCTCGGGACGCCCGCACGGGTCAACCCCTTCTCTCTCAGACAGGACCTCAACGGTGGACGCTGTAAACTCTTGGACACGCCCAGCAAGTCCGTCATCTCCCTGACCTTCACCCTACCAGCACTTCAGGACCCGTGTGCCTCCCCCCACCTCCTCAGAGGGACTCCGGGGTTACGGGCACCTCCGAGGAGGTGCCAGTCGCTTCCTTGCACTCCGGAAATTAGCCGGACTGTTGCCTTCCCGAGTGACACTGAGGGGAAAGAGGCGGCAAGGGACAAGAGCAGAGTGGCTCCCGGGGGTGAGGAGAAGGAAGGTGACATAGACGAGAACAGATGGATACCACAGAGAGCAGAGGGCAGTTTGCATGATAGCACTGAGAAGAGAGACTCATTTCAAATGAAGGAAGAAGGGAAAGATGAGGATTCAGGTCTTCCTGTCGAGCTGGAGATGGTGTCACTGGAGCGGCTGGATGAGGAGGAGGAGGATGAGGAAAGCGTTTGTCTGACTGAACCCATGGACTGCACCAAGTCCCCAGAACCATCGGAGAGAATCCTGAACTCCACCGCTGGAAAACCGCTCCTCACCTCCACCTCCTGCTCCACCTCACAGACCAATGGTTGGCGGCTTCCCATCTCCAACGGGCCTCCCTCTTTGCCCCCTCTTCCACGAATGGACAACAACAACGGCTCTGCCCTCGTGATTGGGCAGCAGGTGCAGTGGGGCGGAGGCCATCGCTCCAATGGTTACAGTGGAGCCCAGGTCCAGTCCTCTGACTCGAGTGGCCCCTCTGAGCAAGACGAAGTCTTTTCCTGTCCAGGCTGCTGTTTGGTGGGACTGAGTTTCCCCTCAGTGTGCCTCCGTGGTTCAGCTGCCGTGCCTGCCCCCCACCGGAGAGCATCTTTACCTCGGCGCCGGCCATACCGAAACCTCAACGGTACGATAACTGGTAGCAGCGCCTCCTCTTCAGTGTTGGGCGCTACGGCGGCTAAAAACCTCCTGTGTCGCAGCACGAATGGACTGGTGGTGGCGGGGCCTTCCATGCCATGCGAGCCCGGCCGGCCCCTGCCAGAGGCCCAGTCATAAACTTGCTCAGAGAACCCCTGACGTTATCCCTCAGACATGCACCAGCACTAAACACGAGGACAAAACACAAACACTACATTTTACAGGGCTGAGGTTGAGAAGATCCACCACTGAAGATGTCTTGTTAGTTCTGTGCTGCTACTGAAAGCTTGGGCGCTATGTTGGGAATTAGAACGATAGCAGTTGAGCGGTTTAAACACAACACACTGAGAAGAAAATGCTGGCATACTGTAAGACGTAGCTAAGGTGAAAAAAGTGGTTTGAGTCAGGGGCCAAAGCTTGTAGCTGCCTCAGAGGACATGCTGGTCCAAACGGAGCTGCTACAGCTAATATCTCTGTTAGCCCCATTTCTCCCCAACTGAGCTAAACCAAAATCCGATTTGAAAAGAAAAGGTTTTTCTACAGGTTTGTTACAACGTGTGCTACTATTTCTGTATCATTACTATGAAATTGAACATTGGAGAGCTCCAGAGTTGGAACTGATCATTCAAAGCTTCATAGCAGTTCACAGATTCAATTGTTAAAGGACTTAAATTTTCTGAATTTTAGCTTCAGTTTTTATCCCTTGTCCATGTACACATGTGGAATAAAGTACATCCTTAATGAGTTCTAAGTGTTAGCCTGTCAGGCCTAAAATAAAGAAGTAAAAGTATGGTCCTCACTTAACTAAATATGTTTAAATTGTAGAAGGAGTGTGAGAAAAAGTTACTACCCCATGATGGACCAATTTGTTGGACCACCTTTAGCAATAACTTGAAGTAATGTTTTGTGTGACGTTATCGGTCTGTCACATGGTTGTCGAAGAACTTTGTACCGCTTCACAAAGGTTCATGTAAGTTTTTGGGAAGACGATTATGCTCAACCATTTTTAAAAGGCCTCGCCGCAGTATTTTATTGAGGCTTTTGTCTACTAAGTCTGGAAAATTCAACATCTTGCTTGTTTCCCAGGGATTCTGTTGCTGGTGAGCCTGGGATTCTTTAGCTGTCTGGCAGATGCCCTCGCTTTGAACTCTTATACAGTTGAGTTATGGATGATATCAATGGTACATAAATGACTTTTTGTATTCAGTGACTGAAAGCTGCCCGGGTTCTATGGCTCTGCTATTGACCAATTCATTATCCCTCCACTACTGTGCTTGACAGATATTTTGAGACTTGTTCTTAAAGGCTACATTTGGTTTTCACCAAAATGCTTTATTTCCCCAAAGCATCTCTTTCTGCAAGCATTGCAAAGTCTTACATTGGGATAAACATTCAGAGAACAGACCTAACAACCCTTCTCAGCATTGATTGGCATTAGAATGGCCTCTCGATGGTATAATATTTCTACAGTTTTTTGTTAACACGTACCTTAAAGCTCCAAAAGCCAGTAAACTGCCAAAACGTCTGCTTTTATAGAGATGCTCACAGTAGCTAAACCTGACTAACAAGGTGAGTTGACCTTATTAGTAAGCTAGTAACCGAATTTTAAGACCTGGAAAGGACCAGTTTGTTTTTTTAAAATGTGTTTTAAAATGTAAAACCTTTTTTCAGTATCTTCCATGTAGCTGTAAGTGAAACGGTGACTGTAACATAAATGATTTCCACATTTTCAAAAATGAGTCAATAAACCATGTAAATGATTAACTTACAGTAATTTTTGGTGTGAAACTGGGGAGCAGCTTGACATTGTATCTCATCTTACCTCCTTTTTTTGGAGGAAGTTTGGAAGAAACAATAAAAAAAATTGCATGGCAGCTTTGTCAATGTTGCTTTTCTGGGCTGATACTGGTGGAAAACCTGTGGCCCAGTCCCAGACTCTATAAGATGGGGGGAAACTGATAGAGGAGGCTCCAGGTACAATAATAGTACGATTTGGATTCTGTTTAACTGCTCAACAGTAGCTGCAGGAGAATTATTTAAAAATTAAGACATATTTCTTTGTACTTTTTTAAAAGCAACTGAACTGTGTGCACGTGTGTTTCTGTGTAAGAAGGAAAGAATGATATCTGCTGATTTTATGGGATGTAATGGAAGGAACTTCCTTGACTTTTCACCTATATTTATTTTTGCTCTGGGGTTTTGAGCACTTTGCTACAAAAAACAAGCTTTTACTAGATGGTGCTTTATTTAAGTCAGTTTTAAGACAGTTTTTCCTGTGTCTCTGTGTGTGTTTGGTCAGTTCTTACTCAACAAACTACACGCGTTTAATCCTTAGACATCTCTTTTTTTCCATGTGTATTTTGTGTATCTATGTATGCATTTGGATGACACTGTAGAATTTAAAGAGACAGCTTTGACCATTTATTTCACAGATCATTCCACACACTGTGTGTGTATGGGCTTTGCGCTAAAGGTAGAGTGATGGATATTCACAGGACAACTTACTCCATCTTTTCTGATTTTAAACCATTCGTGGCTTTATTCCCCATTTTTGTTTTAAAGCTCCAGGCATACATGGAGTTATTTAATAATAAACAAATATGGCTTCGTACTTCATGTGCTGCTTTTTTAACTGAATGATCAAACACTATGCTTATTTTCTGTGGAAACACAATAGTGCTCCTTTAACAGGAAATCATTACATTTCAGATCATCGCGTGAACATCAGGGGCAGTTTCGCTGGATTGGCAGACTGGGGTGGTGGTCCCCCTATTTAAAAAGGGGGACCGAAGGGTGTGTTCCAACTACAGGGGGATCACACTCTTAAGCCTCCTTGAGAAGGTCTATTCAGCAGTTCTGGAGAGGAGGGTCCGTCGGATAGTCGAATGTCGGATCGAAGAGGAGCAGTGTGGTTTTCGTCCTGGCCGTGGAACGCTGGACCACCTCTATACCCTCAGCGGGGTCCTGGAGGGTACATGGGAGTTCGCTCAACCAGTCCACATGTCTTTTGTGGACTTGGAGAAGGCGTTTGACCGTGTCCCTCGGGATATCCTGTGGGGGGTGCTCCGGGAGTATGGGGTACCTGGCCCTTTGTTACGGGCTGTTCGGTCCCTGTACGACCGGAGTCAGAGTTTGGTTCGCATTGCCGGTAGTAAGTCGGACTCGTTTCCAGTGGGAGTTGGACTCCAACTCCCACCAAGGTTGCCCTATGTCTCCGGTTCTGTTCATAACCTTTATGGACAGGATTTTTAGGCACAGCCGAGGTGTTGAGGTTGTCAGTCTTGGTGACCTTAGAATCGCATCTCTGCTTTTTGCAGATGATGTTGTCCTGTTGGCTTCATCGAGTCGTGACCTACAGCTCTCGCTGGAGCGGTTAACAGCCGAGTACGAAGCGGCTGCGATGAGGATCAGTGCCTCCAAATCCGAGACCATGGTCTCTCACCGGAAAAGGGTAGAGTGCCTTCTCCGGGTCAGGGGGGATTTCCTTCCCCAAGTAGAGGAGTTCAAGTACCTCGGGGTCTTGTTCGCGAATGGGGGTAGGGAGCGTGAGATCGATAGGCGGATCGGTGCGGCGTCTGCAGTAATGCGGGCGCTGTACCCGTCTGTCGTGATGAAGAGAGAGCTGAGCTTAAAGGCGAAGCTCTCGATTTGTCAGTCGATCTATATCCCCACCCTCGTCTATGGCCACGAACTTTGGGTAGTGACCGAAAGAACGAGATCAAGCGGCCAAAATGAGTTTCCTCCGTAGGGTGGCTGGGCTCTCCCTTAGAGATAGGGTGAGAAGCTCGGCCATCCGGGAGGGGCTCGGAGTAGAGCCGCTGCTCTTCCACGTTGAGAATAACCAGTTGAGGTGGCTCGGGCATCTGATCAGGATGCCTCCTGGTCGCCTCCCTGGTGAGGTGTTCCGGGCACGTCCCACCGGGAGAAGGCACAGAGGAAGACCCAGGACACGCTGGAAAAAAAAGGGACTGTGTCCCGGCTGGCCTGTGAACGCCTCGGGACCCCCCCGGAAGAAGTGGCAGGGGAAAGGGAAGTCTGGGTGAATGGATGGACGGATGGATGGATATTTGAAGCTATATAATCTGATCCAATCAAGGTTATTTTTGTCACATACATAGTTACATGTTGGAATACTGTCAGTGAAAAGCTTTTGTGACTGCTCCACCACAGTATTCATAAAAAAATTAATGGACAAAACATACATTTATGTTAAAAAGATAAGAGGTTTAAAAACAGAAAAAGACTATAACAACGAGATAAACAAACCAATGACAAAGATTCTGCAGACATCAGGAGGATCAGCCCACCCCCATGAATATTCTCAGAGTTGTCCAGTCTCCTTATTGGCAAGCCTGAGTATGTCACAGCTTAGGTACAAAATCATTTTTTAAAAATCAGATCCAGTTTCACTGATGGTAATGTGGATTGGGATACAATATGAAGTGTGGGAGGTGAATTCATTTAGGTTTTAATTGTTTATTTGTCTTTAAAGAGCAGAACGTTTATATATGTCAACGGTATCATCTTAGAAACGAAGACCAGTTAAAACTCTGTTCAATTGGTCACTTTAAACCAGTCTAAAGATTAGCATGAAGTGCTTTATATGGAATAAAGGAGCACACATAAAGTAGCTACACAATTCTGAATGAAGGCCTACACAGCATATGAATAACATTCGATTCCAGAACTTGAACTCAGAAGTTATAAAATAAAAATGTTTTAAATAAAAAATGAATAGTTCCTATTTGTTTTCAGCACAAGTTTCTTGTGTTTACTGCAAATAGTGAAGCTGACATCAAGAAAAAGGCCATGTAACAGGAGGCAATGACCCCAAAGGTGATGTCATGGGCAGCTAGACCTAGGAGCTGTGTTACTTTTTAACGGGGTTGCCCTATTTTTTTCAAATGACTCTTGCTGGGGCACATCATACTGTATGTGACCAGAATACATTTACAGTTCCATGATCAGTCATATGGAATGCAGCACTGGGCTCCAACAGGAAAAGTAGGGACATTTCCACTGTCAGAGTGCTTTTGCTTTCATTTCCTTTTCAGATGGTCAGTTACATAAAGTTCTAATAAAAGAGCTCGGCTGCAGTTTCACTTTCATTTTCTATATGTTATCCAAGGGGGCTTCTCAGTGGTAATCACCCCACCAAACACACACACATCCATCCAGCCTTTACAAGAAATGGAAGGCATTTCTTATAACCCCTGAGCATGCTCCACCCACAAGTGTACAGTTTTGAGATCCCTAGTCGTGTTTTTTTTTTCAAGTTGATAAGGAAACGGAGACCTTGCAAGGAATGATGAAATTCACAGACATTACACTCAACCTCTCATCGTGCTCCCTTTTTTTAAAGTTGAACAGTCACTGAATGACTCTTCAGAAAGCCTTTTTCCTTTCAGAGTGTGTCACAGTGTGGGCGTGGTTTGGAGCAAGCCTATAATTAACCCTATAAATAAGTAGCCCACCAAGCCACCCAGAATCAACAGTCTCCACTGGGACGGACGGACACTCTTTCTACTCAGAAAAATGATTGGTAAGACATGGCTTGTTGATTACTTTCTCGATGAATATGAGGTTACAGTTTTATGTAATGCAGCCCCACATCTGCTGCTGTATTATTGCTTTAGGTAAGCTTACATAGACTTGTGTAATTCCATTTAGATTATTTTGTACATTTAGCCTTTTGTTTTCTCTATTCAAAATTTTTTTTCACAACTTTTGTCATTTGGTTTCAAAGTGTTATAATGTTTATATCTTTTTGGAGGCAAACAGTGTGAAACTTGTGTGAAAAACTGGTCTTTGATAATTTCTTTAACATAAGGGAAAGCTTGTGTAATATCTTTAAAAAAGCCAACTCTCTGGCTTTTGCTTAGTGATTTATTTTTTATTTGTTGTGTGAAAAAGAAGAGGTTAAAAGGATATCTGTTCTGTAAAATTCAGCTGAGCATCTGTAACTATCCTCATTACATGTTTGAAAAAATGCAACTTTTATTTTGGATTGAGCCCCGTCACTTCCTTCCCATTTTGATAAACAGATAAGGAAAACTTAAAAAAAAAAAATGAAAGAGACAGATACAGTGACATTACTTTTCTTTTCTGCTCCTTTTTTTTCTTTTGACTTTGAACAGTCGTTGATTGACTCTGCACAGCTGTAAGGCACATTTTCCTTGAACCTCAGTGTGGCTGTGGTTTGGAGGAAACCATAGAAAATAGGCCACCAAAGTCACACAGAATCTCCATCGTTCTCAGTATTCTGTACTTTGAGGTATACTCTTTCCAGCCAAAAATGGGCTGCAGTCTAGGTAAGAGAAGATTTTCTGAATACTTTCTGAATGAATAAGATGTAACAGAAATCCTGCTGAATCCAGTTTGACGTAATGCATCCGCATTAGAACAAGGCTTCTGAGAACTTACTTTTCTTGGCTTGAACAAATATACTCTCAACAATTTGGAACTTTGATACACTTGCAACTTTTTTCATTTCAAATCACTGAGCAGCCTATAAAACTTCCTACAATCGGCTCTTCTGACTTTATAGATACTTTTAGTCCTAAACACCTAGCATTGACCATGGTACAAGTATAGGGATGGAATATTAACTAGCAAAATTAAAAGGTTGAAAATACTTAATGTATTATCTTAAAAGAGGATGCCCCTCTTACTGTCCAAAATCAAAGCTCATAAAAATGTATTCAATCTAAGGATGGGATGAAGGTGGGCAATGGGTACCCCTCCTCCTCCCTTAACTTCATACACCAAAGAGTAAGTTATCCAGCATTTACTGGAGTTAATATACTTGATTAGTTAATACTGAATAGTACAACACTTGGTTGTCACCGTTACTTTATAAGGGGATACATCAGCTGAGAATCCTTATAAAATATTTGAGAAAAAATGTAGCTTTTTCTTTGGAATGAGCCCTGAGTGACTGGAATGAACTGAATGTCAACCTCCTTTTACAGATATCATGAGAGTTGAAACTACAGGAGCCTCGAGGGTCACAGCTCAGCAGGACCGTCTCAATTGCACTGGTAAACCATACAGCAGAGAATAACTGTAGACAAAATTATATTTAGCAGAAATAACGGCCATGTAGCCTTTTATGGCTACAGGGCACAGTAGTGTTGATATGAGTTTCTAATATGTAAATTGTGTGTTAAACATAATTTTCATTCCTTTATAAAGGTGTTCCTGCATCTCACAAAATGGCCGAGACTGATGAGGAAAGAATGAAGGCTTACAAAGGAAAGATCCAACGTGTAGCAAATTCCTTCCAAATTGACCCAGCTATCATTGCTGGCATCATCTCCCGAGAATCCAGGGCTGGGAATACACTGGAAAAGGGCTGGGGAGACTATGGGAAAGCCTGGGGACTGATGCAGGTAAGTGGTGGTAAATGTCTAAGACATGATCATTTAAAAATGTTTAGGACAATGTCTCTTGATGATGATTTTCGAAAAAATTGTATATATTTAAATGTTAAATGGACATTTGGTAACTGTAAAAAGGAAAGAGAAATGGTATACTGGGCCTATTCCTTTTATCTATTGATTGATTAAAAAAAAAATGTTACCTTGTTTTAGTTTAATTTTAGGAAATAAGGGATAATTCAAACTTTCATCTATTGACATGCTCTAAACATGGCAATATTATCCACAGTGTAAACTAGGGAACATAAATTGTAATTGACTAGAGAATAGAGCAAACTTTTAATTCAAAACTAAGGGGGGAAAAAAAGGTTACTTTCTTCCCATTTCTGCAGGTCGATGTTACTCCAGATGGAGGTCGGCACACACCAAAGGGTGAATGGAACAGCGAGGAACATATCACCCAAGGCACAGAGATCTTGGTGTATTTTATTGACAGAATAGCAAGAAAATTCCCCAACTGGACCAAAGAGCAGCAGCTTAAAGGTTTGTTTCACAAACTCAAAGAACATAGGGTCGCCCCTCTTCACTTGTCACTTTACTGTATAGTCATTTGATTTTGTCTTTTCAGGAGGGTTGGCTGCCTACAACATGGGAGATGGCAACGTCCATTCCTATGAAAAGGTGGATGAAAACACCACAGGTCGTGACTACTCCAATGATGTTGTTGCCAGGGCGCAGTGGTACAAAAAAAGAGGGTTTTTTTGACGGCTGCAGATCGTAAAAATCTCAAGAAAACAATTTCATATCCTGTGACAAAGATAACAAAGAACAGCCTTAAGTCTTTCATGAAATGTAAAGTCTATTCCATGGATGTTGTTTCCCAAGCTGAAAAAAGTCTAACTCTGCACAATAAACCTAGTGTGGCGTGAACTTGTGAATTGTCTGTTTATTGAAGTCACAGAGAACTCCTGCTTTGACAATTTGCAGAAAAATGCACTCTCAACATGTGTGCTTCACTTCACAGTGTTAGCTTCTTCTCTATTCTCCCCCAAATGTATGTATAAAACACTTATCCCGTTATTAGAGTTAAGATATATGTGGAGTCAGACTTAAAATTAACTTCTAATTTGATGGGTTCTGGCAGCAAAGGAGCCAAACTGCAACAATCCAACCACTGAAGTTACCCCGATGCTCTTTATCCACTGGAATATCTACTCATTGTTGATCCTTGCTTAATTGTTTCGCTTAGTTTTGGACATATGGGGGAGCCAGACTCATCAAATGAGGGCTTAACCTCTTCAGCCTCATAAAAACCAGGTCCAAAGCACCAATCTATCCGATGCCCATGGTCGAAGTCGCTGGACTAAACAGAACCATCTTGGTCCACCGCCCCTGGACTGCCTCCAGTATTAAGGCAGCTGCAGAACTTTTGCCTTTGTTAACCCGATTCTTTAGTTGGAAACCTGAGAATATAACAGAGTAGACCAAAAGTCCAAAAATAACATTTATTGGACACAGTTAAGTATATCAGCTCTTCACAGACAAAAACCTCTCTTTGGGTCTCAGAGCCCTGAACTCCGTGTGTAATGGGTCTTTGTCTCCTGGGCTGGGCACACCCCTCAAAGAAGGACTGGAAACAACCGAGTGCTTATTGGCCAGTTGCTTCTGGGCATAAACAAGCCAGGTTGTAATTCATGTAGATGACATTGGAATGTGGTAACAACGTGTATGTGTGTTGAACTAAGGACGTGTATCTAATGCAACAGAGAAAGAAAGAGAGAGAAAAGGGAATCTGTGGTTACAGCCAGAGAATTTAACACACAAATAAAGTTCTAAAAGGAATAAAAACAATCAGTAATTTACATAGATCATGTGATAGCATACAATGCTAATATGAGTAATTATAGCCAAATTTTAATGCCTTCCCCAGGACGGATGGGAGACATTTGGGACTGAAACTATTAAACCTCTGGAAAGAGATGTTTCCCACAGGACGAGAAATAAGACAGATCTTGTCCTCAAAAATGAAACCCAGTCAACCGACCGTCCTGTCGGGGGTTCCAGACCCTTCCCGGTGAGTGAAAAACCCCGTGTGAAGCATATCACGATGCCATCACAATCCTCGGTGGGGTGCCAAAGGTCATGTTTCCAGTTAGAATTGACAGTAAGTCCCTTCACAGCGTGGTACAGGGCCCCGACAAACCAATGCAGGATTCACTCCCCTGGATGGAAGAGGCCTAGAACAGCACTGCGGCTTCCAATGCCCTTACCGAATAGGCCCGGAACCAGTCACATGGGGATGCCTCCTGTGCAACTATGGGATGGATGGGCTGAGACCTGAACTGGCTGCTCAGACTCACATGTCAGACTCGCTTGTATCTCCACAAAGATCTCCACCCCGCTGCATTGACTGTATTCTGCTGCTGCAGAGCATTAAGGATAGGTCAGGGATGGGGAAGAGGGCTTGGGCAAGGCCGTGGCCAACAAGGTTGGCCTTTGAGGTCATCTGACTGCCGTTGGAAGAAGTGTCCGGAGGCACCACGCTAGGGTAAGCTAAGGTTTGCTAGGGTTTGCTAGAGACATTTGTCCTTAGCAAAATCCTCTGTAAGGAAGTGGCATGAGAACAATGACCCTTATGACTGTTATGACACTCTGCGAACAGTTTGTACGTCCATGCCTGACCTCTCTGATTCTACCTCACTAATTCTGATCTCACTCTTCACGTTGATGGCTCTACCTGTCACTCTGACCTTGGGATCAACCAGGTGGGCTTTGGTTCTTCACCTTCACACCTTTCAGCTCAGGCTGCTGAGCTAATTTCTGCAAGGTGGCTGAGGGCCAAAGTGTTAACATCTCTACACTGACTCTTGATACACTTTTGGGGTCCGTTGGAAATACAGATCATTCTTTAAGTCTTATGGCAAACCTGTTTAAATGTTTTTCTTATTCTATCTAAAATTGCTGTTGTTAAATGTTCTGCTCACACAGTTTCTTCTGGGGAATGGAGAAAACAAATGCCTCTGCCAAAGGTGCTGCCAAGGCTGCTGCATGTCTACGATTCCCTTACTCTTATCTCGGTGCCTCCCTTCCTTCCCGCCCTCCTCCTGTGTTACTGTCTGATTAACAGCTCTTGGTTCCCCTGCAGAAACGCTGCTCTGGTCTCAAAGTGGCTGCGGCAAAACACAGGAAGGCTGTTTTTCTGAGGACAGCAAGCCCTGTCTGCCCAGGCATTTCTTTCTCTGGTTTGCCAAATAAAGTCATGGGTTAGACCAGTGCTTTTCAACCGTTTTTGAGCAAAGGTGGATTCTTTTCACTGAAAAAAATCACAAGGCCCACCTCCAACCAAACATGTTCATACTTTGTAGCCGCCTATATTAACAATGCAGTTATTCTTATCAAAGTGTCTTGAATAGGAACCAAATAAACACACGAATATATATATATATTTATCATACTTCATATTTGTTCTTTCAAATTCAACTTAACATGTCTGGGAGAAAGGGGCTCGCCAGCCCCCGTCTCATGTCAGAGGAGTAAGCGTAAGACTTACAAAAAGGTGGTAAGAACCAGAGGACGACAGTTCCAGTAAAAAAAAAAACGTGTAGTGGTTTATTTACAATTGCGATGGTGAAGAGAAAAACAAACAAAACAAACAAAATACTTTCAAACAAAGAAAACGAAACCGGCCATTGCAGGCAATACAAAGAAATTACAGCCTCACCGCAAGCTGACATCAACTATAGTTTGTCAAAGCACTCTCCCAAAGCCAACCTCCAGCAGCCTCCTTACCATTGTGAGTGTGCCCCTTAAATAGGCCCACCAATCCACAGCCAATTGGGAAAGCCCAACTCAACAGGAAAGCAATCCCCAATAATGCACGATTAACATTGCAATAAATACCATACAGCCCATAGCTTCACTCCCCAAAACATCCAGTTGAAGACAGTTGAACCATGCTAACAATCCCAATTCACCTAATAATTACAATTCCAACAGTTATTCCCAACCTTAACGCCCCTGTCCCCACAAAGTTTTGTCTACTGCCGTGGGAAAATGAATAAAAAGCTGGCTCCGATTTGGTACGTGTTTCCACACGGACCAGTATATTGACGGACCAGGAGCGAGAAGGTGTATGTTTGGCTGGGAAGTTTTATTGTCGACTACGGAATGTATGATGAAGCTGTTTGGTAAATAACGTGTTAAATGGAAGGTGTTGTTGTAATATTTGAACTAGCGTAAATTACCGGGTGAATTGTTTGGAACTGCCACCGCGACGACGGCCGGTCTGTGGTGCATGCTGGGAAATGTAGTGACGCTGTGTGTGATAGACGGCGGCTACGGATCGGGAACAGAAGGGGGAAAACGGCTCCGTTTTCACAATGTCCACTTCAAAAATACACCTGGATCAGTGCCACAACAATGTGGTCTTAAATTTAAAGAGGTTGTAGAAAACTTCAAACTGGACTTTGTTTGTGGGTCTTAGTTTTTTCTTCTCAGTTATTATAGAACGTCTTTGGTGTTCTTCCTGCTGGTCCTTGTTTCTGGTTCATCTTGGATTTGTTCCCTCAGCCACTTTCCATGTTCTGTTAGCCTCTCTTATTTTGGTGATTGTTCCTGTTTCCCCGTGTCTCCATCTACATTCTTGAGTTTCCTCTGGATACCAGTTCAACTTCCTGCCCCTGTCACTTCTCACCAGCTCTGGGTTGGCTCAGGGTTTCTGACTATCTTCTGGAAATTCCTCAATCCAGGCCTCAGTACCTTTTCCTACCTGAAGTTCATGCAATAGAGGAGGAGGTCTGGAATGCCGTCAGTGGCACTGAGGCGGAACTCCAGGTATTGAGATTAGAATCCTCACTGTGAATGTCACCTGCCGGCACCTTCAGCCCACTGCCATGCCCCCTGTGGTCGTTGCCTCTTCGATCTTCATGCCTCAGCTGCTCCTTCACTCCACGAAAGTGGTCCCTGCTAATTCCTACCTAAGGATTCAGTCCCACGAAGGAATAAAAAGAATTTAAAGAATTGATTAGCAGGGACATTTATAATGAATTGTCAGCCTCCCTGGCTGCCACCTTATCGTGGTGGAGGGGTTTGAGTGTCCCAGTGATCCCAGGAGCTATGTTGTCCGGGGCTTCAAGCCCCTGGTAGGGTCACCCAAGGCAAACAGGTCCTAGGTGAGGGATCAGACGAAGCGCAGCCAAGAAAACCCCTATGATGATTACGACACATGGACCCAACGTTCGCTCGCCCGGGCGCGGGTCACCGGGGCCCCCCCCCTGGAGCCAGGCCCAGGGGCGGGGCACGATGGCGAGCGCCTGGGGCCTAGCCCGAAAAGGCAACATGGGTCCCCCGTCCAATGGGCCCACCACCCATGGGACGGGCCATAGGGGTCGGGTGCAGTGTGCCCTGGGCGGCGGCCGGAGTCGGGGACCTTGGCGGACTGATCCCCGACTGCAGAAGCTGGCTCTAGGGACGTGGAACGTCACCTCTCTGGTGGGGAAGGAGCCTGAGCTGGTGTGCGAGGCGGAGAGATTCCGGCTGGACATAGTCGGTCCCGCCTCGACACACAGCTCTGGCTCTGGAACCAGCCTTCTCGAGAGGGGTTGGACGCTCTGCTACTCTGGGGTTGCCCCCGGTGAGAGGCGCCGAGCAGGAGTGGGCATACTCATTGCCCCCCATCTCGGTGCCTGTACGTTGGTGTTTACCCCAGTGAGCGAGAGGGTAGCATCCCTTCGCCTTCGGGTGGGGGGACGGGTCCTGACTGTCGTTTGTGCCTATGCGCCTAGCGGCAGCACAGAGTACCCACCCTTTTTGGAGTCCTTAGAGGGGGTACTGGAGGGTGCCCCCTCTGGGGACTCCATCGTTTTGCTGGGGGACTTCAACGCTCACGTGGGCAACGACAGCGAGACCTGGAGGGGCGTGGTTGGGAGGAA